TGTTGTTTTGGTGGGACGTGTTATAGATAACTCACTATGTAGACCAGGCTGGCCTTGAACTCACAGAGATCCACCTGCCTCTGCCTCCTGAGTGCTGGGATTAAAGGCATGCGCCACCACATCCAGCTGACTTTTCTTTTTATGTGAACTCTTTATTATGAAAATACTCAAGAATAAACCATAGTAGAAAATATCTATTTTCAGCATTATGCTTTACTATTAACATTGAAATATGTTATTTGTTTACTCATTTGCTGTCAGTAAATATATCAGTGCATTTTAACCTTAAACGCACTAGCTTTCTTCTATGATCAACATGAATATATATAGTGTTGTTGTCTTACCTACAAGTTCAAATGTTTTGTTTAAATAATTCAATATCAATCCTCAATTAAGATGTTACCAATTATCCCTGAAATATCTTTGATGGCCATTTTTATTTTAAATTATTTCATAAGACAGGTTTTCAAATAATTAATACTTACCGATTTCCTTCAGATAAAAGTCTTAAGTATCTTTTAAAGTAGAGCAGGAGCACCATAGGATTTTATAATGGGAATAACATTTTCAGTTGGAATAGTTTTAAAGAGTTGTTCCCTTCACCTTGGTAAGATGCTGAGGTTATGGGTCCATTGCTCAGTCTTTTTTTTCTCAAAGGGCAATTAGCTGACAACTTCTAGTTGTTGGCTCAGGATTCACTCAAGCTGCACACAGACACTTTTCTTTTATCAGGCTTTCCACAGCCAATTTCTTACATTATTTATTCTTTCTCAATGACTATTTGGGGAACCCCAAGTGACAAAATAGTGTAGATAATGAGGAAAATATTTTCATATTCATTCAATTTTCAGTTTTTCATAGAAATATAGTACAGCAGGAACTATCAGGAAAAAAATGTGTGTGTGTTTATAAGTATGTGCATAAGTGTATGTGTGCATGTATATGTACATATGTATATGTGTGCATGTGTGTACACGTGTGCATGTGTGTACATGTGTGCATATGTAAATGTGTGTATGTGGGCGTATGCATAGTTGTGTATATTTGTGAATATGTGTATAAGTGCATGTGTATGTGTGTTTCCCAATATGCTCGAGTGATGAACAGTGGTCTGTTATTTATTCTCAAATGTAGATTAAGCCACTCTACCTCTCTGCATAAGACATAAGGTATGGTTTGACTCTCACTAACTGGTGATAAATAGCAAACAAGACTGAAATACCCAATGAAGCACATTTCACTCTCATAGAACAGATGTTTATAACTGTTGAATTAAGATTTTGTTTATATTTCAGGTAAGGGTATAATAGTATCTTGATGGGTACAAAATTGTATGAAAATACTAAACCTCATATTTTTACAGAAATATAAAATAGATGTGTAATGTGTTTTATTTTCATGTAGGACTTATCCATCCTGTCCCTCATTTATTCAAAAATCTTTTATTGAATTACTAAGTTGTTAAAGACTTTCTGTTAAGTGATACTTGTCCCTTCTCTAAAGGTATTATTTGAAAAGAAAATGCCAGAGTCAGTAGATGTAACTTATTTAAAGTACTAAGTTAAAAAGCAGAGAATAAGCTTAGGTAGGTGAGAGAAAAGTTACATCAATAATAACTATATCAAGGACCCTATCCAACATTGCTGATACCTAATGCTGATATTTTGATCCTTTAACACTGAAGGCTCCAATATCTCAATTAAGACTGGGTTATTTGGAATCCAACTAAACAAATTGTGGTAGGGGATGTAGGAGCTTCCCGCTTGGAGCATCTCCAGGCTGCCACAAGAGAGCTAAGGTGCAGTACTAAATCCTCAAGAGGGAAGTGCTAAGTTGCTGCTCTGGCTCCTAAATGGCCCTGCCCAAGGACCCCCTACTGCCACTGCCAAGACAGAGAGGGGCCAGGGCATAAAGCAGTGTCTACATATGCACAGAGTCTACATGCAGATTTGCACATCTGCAACCAAGCCACAAAATTGTTTTCTAGAGCACACATTCAGAAAATATACAACTTCCATAGAAAGGGAACAAAAAACTGGGTTGCAACAGTGTTCTAGTTTGCCTTCAATTGCTATGATAAAGCACTCTGGCCAATACCAACTTGGAGAGGAAAGGATTTTTTTAGCTTCCATTTCCTAGGTCACAGTTTATGACTGAGGGAGCCCAATGTAGGAATTCAGAGCAGGAACCTGAAGGCAGGAGCTGAAGCACAGGCTATGGAGGGAATTGTTCCCTTGGCGTATGCTCAGCCTGCTTTCTTAAAAATGCAGGACCACCTGCCCAGGGGTGGCACCACCCACAGTGAACTAGACACTCCCACATCACTCAACAATCAAGAAAATGCTTCAAAGACATGGCTACAGGCAAGTCCAATAGAGGAAGTTCCCCAATTGAGGCTCCCTCAAGCCAGTTGTGTCAATCTGTATTATCTCCAAAGAAACAGAACTGGTAGAATGAATATATATTTATAATGATTTATCAGCTTAGCTCACAGGATATAGTCTGAGTAGTCCAACAATAGCTGCACCACACTGGAGAGGCTGAGAATCCTTAGTGGTTGAGTCCATCAGGCTGGATGTCTCAGTAGTCTCAATCTGGCACTGAAGGTCTGATGAATTCCAAAAGATCAGCTATTCAGTCTACAGCAGCAAGAAGAACTCACCATCAAGAGAGAAGGCAAGCAGCAAGAAGCCAGGCTTTCTCCTCTGCTGTGGCCTTTTATAGGGGTTGCCATCAGAAGGTAACACCCACATTTAGGGCGTGTCTTCCAGGTTCAGATGACCCAATCAAGAAGGTCTCTCTCATTTCAGTTAATCCCAGATCCAGTCAAGTTGACACTGAGGATTAGCCATCACACCTGGCAACTAAAGCTATCCAGCACAGTGTATACAGCTCCCCACTTTGTACTACGTTGAGGGCCCCAGCCTTTGTGTACACACTGAGACTACAGACATAAACTACTGCCTGGCTCAGGAAGACATGAACTACTTCCTGGCACAATGTCCACCCTTTTCATCTATGACTGTCCTACAATGAAACAATAATCTAGGATTTAATTTAGGTGCATGAAAATGTGAAAGTATGCTGTTAACACAGCAATCTGTGAAAACAAAGGTATAATGTTTTTCACAGTAATTCTGTGATACATATTGGTTAAAATTTTTTAAAGCAAAATAGTCATTATGTGACATATAGTAGTAGGTTTGAGTCTGGAAACAATTCCATATTTATAGAAACAGTGGTATTGCAAAGATGATCTATTGAGTGGCCAAATATAATAAATAGCTCATGATATAATATTAAGGTTTGGCCTAAACAGCAAAAAACATGGTTTGGCTGTTACTTGGAATTAACTGTTAGGAAAAACGGATCCACATTGTCTGAGAAACAGAGAGTAGCCCACATGGACTTGGCTTTGTATTTATAAACACATTAATCAAAGGGGAACATCTTACTCTAGGCAATTAGTTTTGACAATGGAACAGTAGATAGAGACTAATTAATGATTTTTTTGTAATTATTCTTCCCTGTACACACATTAACTGGTGTTCAGGCATTAATTGTGACATCAACATGATTGCCTATCATTGAAAAGACCATTCTACAACTTAATTATGTATTTTAGGGACTCATATATCTCATGGCTTTCAGAATTACTTTAACTAGCCTCAAAGTTGTAAAAGGTGTAAGAAATAGAGGAAAATGCCTCTTCAAAGACTTCATTCCTTTCTTTATTTTTATCTTATGCCACATTCATGCAATTTCCTCTCCCACATCCAACCCAAGAAGTCACATAAACATTGCAGGACTATGCTGTGAGGTAAAAATGTACTAGCAACATGTGGTAATTAAATTTTATAAAATCAAACATCAGACTATCTTTACTACTCAACAGTCACATGTGGCTCAGAGTTACTCTTTTGAAAATCTGAATTTAGAACATTACCATTGTGATAGCTCTATTAACCCTGCTTATAGTGAAAGCACCATGAAGTCTTGTTCATTGATATATTCTGGGAGTCTAGGATTGTTGCCAGACACAGATAAGTTGCTCACAAGTTATTTGTTGATTGAATAGCTGTTCTTTTTTCCTCTTTGTTTACCTCATTTGTTTTGAAACTGTACCTAGGGACATCAACTTAAGGAATGCCTGCAGACACACAGAGAGTACTTTCAGACAGGGAGGAGAATGAGCAAGGGAGCACTGATCTAAAGTACTTTATCTAAAGTACCAGAGATAGTGCTAATTAGGTTAGATAAAGCAATGCTTCCAGTAAAAGATGATTTACATTCTTTTACCAATTATGATAGACACACGAACAGAAAAGGATAAAAATTTTTACCTGGAATTTTATTCCATCAAAGAACAGGTATCATTGCTCATTTTATAAATATTCTTGAGAACACAAAAAAATTTAAAAAGTATCACTGCTCATTTTATAAATATTCTTGAGAACACAAAAATTTAAAAAATAAATTGACAAATTATATATAATAAATGGGTAATGAGAGAAATAAAATTGATGTGAAAAAGAAGCATTCTTTAGGAATGAATCTCTAACCCTAGACTGATGTAGCTCTTACCTCTGTCTCTATTTTTCTTTCTTTTTCTCTCTCTCTTAGACACATAGGCAGAGAGACAAAGAGAGCATGAGTGAGGCAGAAATGAAACTTTAGAATCAAAAGTACTTGTTATTTTCTACCTTATACTTTTCCAGTTGGAATTACATTAGCAACATTAACTATTTAAAACAAACAAGAACAAAAAAATTAGACTAAGAAAAAAAGAAACTCAACATATCTGCAAATGATATTTTTGACATTGTATAAAATTTATAAAATAATAAAAGTAATAAATTTAAAATTATATAATAAAAATAGGAATTTTTAAATAGTGTTTGAAAGTGTTATTAGAGATTGCTAATAAAGCTCTTCAAAGAAATTTTTAGAAACATTGTGTTCTCCCGTAATCAATCAACTTCATACTTTAGAAAAACTCTTGCTAATTTTGGCAGCATATATCTGAGATTGCAACAATACAGAGAATATTAGCATGGCCCCTGAAAAGGATGACAGGCAAATATGTGAAGTGTTCCATATTAAAAAAAAAAAAAGAGAAGCTCAACTTTTGTTTTGTTTTGGATACAGTCTCTCCCTGTAGTCCCAGCTGGCCTGGAACTCACTCTGTAGACAAGGCTGGTCCTGAACTCACAGAGCTCTGTCTGCCTGCAGAGTGCTAGGATTAAAGGCATATACCACACTCCCAGATGAGAAGCTCAACTTGATGATTTTTTTTAACCCATACATATAAAAATTGTATCATATTAGGTGGTAGATTAATTTGAAAATGTCTGACAGCTTGTTTTGTTGTTATGAAATTATACCTGACAAAAACAACCTAAGGGTGTATTCTGACTCATTCTTTGTGGGCATAGTTCATCATGGTAGAAAGACACACATGTGGCTAGGAGCATGAGATAGCTGGTCACATGGAGTCCATACTCAGGAAGGAGAGAGCTATGGATGTTTGTGCTCACATTTTCTTCTTTTAATTCAGTCTGTGAGTCCAGTCTACGGAATGCTCCCACTCAAACTCAGCTGGTGGAGGGGGTCTTCTCACCTGTTAAAACTCTGTGGTTTTAATGCCCTCACAGATATATTCAGAGGTTTTTCTCCCAGGTAATCCTAAATTCAGCCATGTCAAGACTCAGTATCAACCATCATAGTAAGATCTACAATTTGAAAGTTAAATAATCTCAAACACTAACTAGGCCAATTTCAAATGTTCAACTTAAGAACAATGTTCCTAAAAGGATAGTTTAAAATAATGCCTGTCTTCTCTATAAAATTAGAGTACAGAACAACCTACAATTTAGAAGACAGGAATTGATGTATGTCAACACAAATGCTGAATACTTTTAAACACGCTGAAACAAATTATCTGTCAATGTAGGATTTATATGTATCATGGATTATGAAAAGCTTATAGTTAATTAGCATTTATTATATGTTAAAATGCATTATCTCTCTGATAATAAATGTATTATCACTCTAATATATGCCACATTTCCTGGGAATAAGCTTATCAAATGTATTATTGAACAGAAAAAAAGATTCTTTTAGAAATTATGTGAATAACTCAAGAAGGTTATGACAGAAATATTTGACTCAACATACTGCTTCTCTGTCTACATGATAGGTGTTGTGCCATGTAATGGGATACAGTGTTGGAAAATAAATTATATGATTCTTGTCTTCAAAGAATGTAGCATCAATTGAAAATCTTATAATTCAAGATAATATTTATTATTTATTTTATATTAAGTGTATGTGTGTATCTTACTGTGGCTATAGGCATGTGAGCAAATGTGCTTATGGAGGTCAGAGGCATCATATTTTCTCCAAGCTCGAGTTACCAGCAGTTGTGGGATGCCCAACATAGCTTCTGGGAAGTAAATTTGAGCCTTCTGCAAGTGAAAACCCTCTTAACTTCTGAGCCTTTTATAGAGCCCCAATTCAACATATTCTTTAGATAACTGTTGTTATTACTGCCTATGGAGACTCATATAATCTGATCAGATAAGTGCAGTGGTTTGGTGCATTACAAGAAAAATTGAAATCTTGTTTTGTGTAGTGACACCAGTGTTGTGAGGGCAACCAATTACCTTCTGATTGGATTTAAGGTCCACCTCACAGGATGGAACCCAAACCTAACACTATTATCAGGACCAAATATATGTGGCTACTACTATTATTTTACTATATAAAGTTAGCATTAAACTGACTCCTGTTGATTTGCCATACCTATAGATTAGTGTATCTCTCAACTCTCACTATAGAAGATTCTCCTTGCAGCAGATGGAGATTAAATCAGGGGCCCACAGCTGGTCAATGTGCAAAAATAAGAGATTGCAGTGTTCTTAGCCCTAAATGGGTTGCCTACATGACACCCTCTGTTCCCATGGCTCTGGAATTACTACAGAAGAGGTGGAAGAGAGATTGTAAGGGTCAGAAGTGGTAGATGAACACAAGGAAGCCATGCTGTCTAGATATCACAGGGCAGCTCTACGCATGAACCCGCAGTATTTGTAACATTATATAAGGACCTGTGTAGGCCAAGTCACACAAAACCCTGCATGGACAAAGGAGGTGGACAAGAAGTTTTAGCCCTAGCTGAGTATCTATTGGCAATTGATAACTTCCACGAGAGAGAGTTAGTTTTAAGTGTGTGACGCTTGTGGGTGGACAAGACTCCAAGAGATGGTCCCACACTTTTTAAAATGATGAAAATAGGGCCTGGAGAGATGGCTCAGCTGTTAAGAACGCTGGTTGTTCTGGCAGAAGATCTGTGTTCAAATCCCAGCACCCACATGGCAGCTAACAACTGTCCATAACTCCAGTTCCAGGGGATCCAACGGCCTCTTCTGATATGGCTCAATGGTTAAGAGCATTGTCTGCTCTTGCAGAGAGCCTGGGTTCTGTTACCAGCACCCACATGGCAGCTACCATCCATCCCTAACTCTGGTTCCAGGGGACTTGATGCCCTCTTCTGACCTCCATGGGCATTGCACAAAACAGGTGCACTTACCTACATGCAGGCAATACACTCATACACATAAAATAAAAATAATAAATAATTTTTTTAAAAAAAAGGAAAATAATAGTAGAGGACATGGAGTTGGTGGATAATATGATGGTCGGCGGTCTGAGTATGATTGTATCAGATTCTCAAAGAATGAATTAAAAATTAATACAAAAGTCTTAAAAAATACACCACAGTTTACTTAATGCACTTAAGCATTAATTTGTTACATTGATCAGTCTGGTTTGTTTTGGGCCAAAATATCAATTAAATGTGAGACTGAAAACTAAAAATCAAGACTCAAATGTTAAATACTTTTTGAAGATAATAAAATGCTAATCTAAATCATAAAATTAATTTATACCTTTCTGCCAAATATCTAATGGTGTAATGAAAAAAATTATATTAATTCCCATGTATTCTTAATTGTGCTGCTTAAGAAAAAATAATATGAGCTTGGAATTGTTACTATAAACAGGAAGCATAATACAAGCTTGGAATTATTACCATAAGCAGGAAGCATTATACTTATTCTTACAGTTGACTAATTCAATGTGACAGATCTTATGGTAAAATTGACTGAATTAAGTAAAACTTTAGGTTTTATAGTGTTTGGTCAATGCAGCAGAACTGGAAAATTCATTTACTACTTTAAGAGCATCCCAGTGGGATGTAGATGAGCAGAGACCTGGAAAGTTCACATTGCTCTCTACCACATTGCCTCTTTTAAAGATGAACCCAATTAATACACTCAACATTTAACTTCAGGAGCATATTAATATTCTAACATATTAGAGATGAGCTACGTACTCCAGTTAAATTAAAAGCTGACCTAAACCCTTTCTCAAGGTTGAGACTAGCCATTTGGGAAGAGTGATCTCATTATTAAACACTTGCAGCCCTAATTATCTCCTGATTCTAGCCAATGCCTATGCTCAGTGTCTCAGGAGCTTTTCTTTTCCAAGAGTTGATTAGCTGGACTAGAAAAGTTTTATATTTTCTAATCAAAACAAAAACATTACATGGCACTCCTTCCAATGCTTAGCAAGTTTCTTGCTTTCCAACCTCGGTCCTGTAATATGGTACTTATAGAATTTCTTATGTCAAATATGTATACTTTGTTCATTTGTTTATTTGATATTTTGTATCTTTATGCACATTTGTTTTCTAGAGGTTTTTTGAGACAGGGTATCCCTGTATTTCCAGCTGTCCTGGAACTCACTCTATAGGCCTGACTGGTTCTGATCTCACAGAAATCTGCCTACTTCTGCATTCTAGAGCTAGGATTAAAGGCATGAGCCACCACACTTGGCTTTTTCCAGATTTTATAAGTTTTTGTCCATTGTGTTTAATACTTTATTGTCTGACTCTCTCAAAGGTATTTTAAAGCAAATTATATGTAAATATAGAATTTTAAATGTCATGGATTATAAAAGGCTTAATTTATAGTTACGTAGTTATGTAGTTACTGTATGTTCAAATACATATGTATTATCCCCATATAGTCGTCATTTTTCCTGAAAATAAACTTGGCAATAAAAAAGTATTATTGAGTGAGAAAAAATAATTTTGAGAAATGTTGTGAATTCAAGGATAAATTCAATTTTTTCACCTAAGTCCTATCTATAATTATATGAACCATATTAGGAGGCAAGTAAAATAAATTCCTGAAATTATTTTTTAAATCATTTATTAATTTTTATATGTATGAGTATTTTGCTTGCATGTATGCAAGTGCACCACATGTGTGCAGTGCCCCCAGAGACCATAAGAGGGCAATGGATCCTCTGGAATTGGGGTTAAAGACAGTCATAAGCACCATGTGGGTGCTGGAAACAGAAACTGGGTCCTCTGCAAGAGCAACCAGTCCATTTAAACAATGAGCCATCTCTTCAAAACCAAATTCCTCAGGTTCTTGTATTAACTTATTAGAAAATTTAGTCAAAATTTATTTTCTGTAATTAAATTACTTAAAACACATGTAGACTGTATTTCATTTTCATTTTCTTGACAATTCTGAATCTATGTAGTTGTGACAACTGCAGGTAGGGTACAAACAACACTGAATTATTGATCATTTAGATAATACTTAAATTTTAACCATTATTGTTTAAATGTTCCATTAATTAAACTTTCTACTTCATTTCACATGTAAAATTTCTGAAAATTTTAGTTTCTGTGATTTAAAAGTTTTAGAGAAGTGTGAATTTTTCCCATGTACATTCTAACAAAGAGCCTACTTCAAGCAGGCTATTTTTAAAAGATTATGATGAAGATGAAAGTTATATGAAATAATCTAAATGCTGAAATACTTCAGCTGACATGTAGAGGTGATTTCAATCAAATTTCATGATCTGCTCCCCCCACCCCAGTCCCTCTTGGGCCCAGGCCTGCTCCTACTCTTCTGCCTCAGATCTTCAGACTATCTTCTTAACCCAGAGTAACTAAATCCTCCAGTTTAGTTTGTTAGACCTTTTACAGGATGTCCCCATCCCTACCTTGCCTTTGGCCTCATGATCTGT